AGTTTCATTCTCCACTGAAAGGAACCAGGGCTCCTTGAAGAAATGTCTGATTCCAGGACTGAGAACAGGAACATACAGATGATCCTGGAACATCTTATGCCAGAAAGCAATGAGATTCTCAAAGAATGATGGGAAATTGTCAAAAGGACATAGAATCCAGCTTGAAGAAGCTCCCACTGACCAAATCTGGGGCAATTTAAGCTTTAAAATAAATAAGGAAAATAATTTATTATATCATATTGAATAAAGTGAGAATTCATGGGTCCATACTGATATAAACAAGTAAATGAATAAATTGAAAGTTTGATAAGGAATAGGATATTTAAAAGGTTTCAAAATACATTCCCACAGAATTCTTACTAATTACAAAGAAGTAAAGAGTAACTTCACAGAGAAGTCTGGCAGACATCAGTGATCAAAGTGAACATGAATCGGTGATGAGACAAATTGAAAACATGTACCATCTGATAGGATGCAGTGAGAACACAGTACCACTTCTGTGATATTCCTGTCAAAGAAGCATAACCTGAATCGATTCATGGGGAAACATCAGATAGGCTCAAATTGAGGGACATTCTGTAGAACAACTGGCCTGTAATCTTCAAAAGGTCAAGGTCATGAAAGTCAAAGATGAAAGACCTGTTCCAGGTTGAAGGAGACTAAAGAGACATGAACTAAATGCAACTCATAATGCTAAATTGGATCCTTCTGCTATGTTGTTGTGTTCTTAAGTGCCATCAAGTCGGTTCCAACTCATAGCGACCCTGTGTACAACAGAACAAAACACTGCCCAGTCCTGCGCCATCCTCACAATCGCTGCCATGCTTAAGGCCATTGCTGCAGCCACTGTGTCAATCCTTCTGCTATAAAGAACATTTTTGGAACAAATGGAGTCTGAGGATTAGATGGAAGGATTAGAGGATTAGACAGCAGTAATGTATCCATGGATCTTGGCTCAAAGCAGAGAATACCAGAAAGACGTTTACCTGTGTTCTATTGACTATCAAAGGCATTCGACTGTGTGGATCATAACAAATTACGGCTAACATTACAAAGAATGGGAATTCCAGAACACTTAACTGTGCTCATGTACATAGACCAAAAGGCAGTTTGAACAGAACAAGGGGATACTGTGTGGTTTAAAGTCAGGAAAGGTGTTCATCAGGGTTGTATCCTTTCACCATACTTACACAAATAATCAGAGAAGCTGGGCTGTATCAAGAAGAATGGGGCATCAGGATTGGAGGAAGACTCATTAACAACCTGTGATATACAGATGATACCACCTTGCTTGCTGAAAGTGAAGAGGACTTGAAGCACTTACTGATGAAAATCAAAGACTACAGCCTTCAGCAGGGATTGCACCTCAACATAAAGAAAACAAAAATCCTCACAACTGGACCAATAAGCAACATCATGATAAACGGAGAAAATACTGAAGTTGTCAAGGATTTCATTTTACTTGGATCCACAATCAATGCCCGTGGAAGCAGCAGTCAAGAAATCAGATGGGCAAATCTGCTGCAAATGCCTCTTTATAACCATGTATATGAAACTAAATGGGCACACCAGCCCAAAAACAAAGACCAGAAGACAGGAAGGGCAGGAAAATTGGACAAATGGAAATAGGGAACCCTAGGTCGAGAAGGGGAGAGTGTTGACACATCACGGGGTTGGCAACCAATGTCACAAAACTATTTGTGTATTAATTGTTTAATGAAAAAATAATTTGCTCTGTAAACTTTCACCTAAAGCACAATAGAAAAAGAAAATTGTACAAGGAAAATAATCATTAAAAAAGACCTCTTTACATTGTTAAAAAGCAAAGATGTCACTTTGAGGACTAAGGTGTGCGTGACCCAAGCCATGGTATTTTCAGTCGCCTCATATGCATGGAAAAGCTGGACAATGAATAAGGAAGACCAAAGAAGAATTGATGCCTTTGAATTATGGTATTGGTGAAGAATATTGAATACACAATGGACTACCAGAAGAATGAACACATCTATCTTGGAAGAAGTACAGCCAGAATGCTTCTTAGAAGTGAGGATGGCGAGACTTCGTTTCCGTACTTTGGACATGTTATTAGGAGGGACCAGTCCCTGGACAAGGACATCATGCTTGGTAAAGTGAAGAGTCAGCGAAAAAGAGGAAGACCCTCAACGAGATGGATTGACACAGTGGCTGCAACAATGGGCTCAAATATAGCAGTAATTGTGACAATGGCGCAGGACCAGGTAGTATTTCATTGTTGTTCGTAGGGTCGCTATGAATGGGAACTGACTCAATGGCACCTAACAACAACAACAGTGTATCAATTAATCAATTGAAGATGGCACAGGACCAGGCAACGTTTCGTTCTGTCATATGTGGGATCTCTATGAGTCGGAGCCAATGGAACCTAACAACAATGTTATCAATATTAATTTCCTGGTTTTGATGGTTTCCTACCTAACCTCAGTACAAGAATATTGACAGGCAACTTATTCTCAAATGGTTCAGGAAAAATTCTTTGTATTGTACATAACTTTTAAATTTAAGAGTGTTTCGAAAATTTTTAAATTACACTGAAACCTGGGAGAGCCGAAACTCAGTGGGACTGCTGTGTTTTTCCGGGTCTCACAAGTTTTCCACCTTTAACAGGGTGCAGACTTACCACTTTTCTATCACTCTGTTAGTGGAAAGTATTTGAGTTTTCCTTCTCTAACAGGTTTCCACTTTATATACGTTCCAGCTTTCACAGATTTTACTGTATTAAACTTTAAAAATGCAAGAAGCATCAGCCAATCTTCAAATATAAATATTATTTTCAACTAACAGAAAGCCATAGCTTTAAAGTTAAAGATCTCTTTTTACCACCTGCCATTAATACAGTTTTAAGGCATGCTTATTTATGGAAGCATTTATATAGTTTGAAATTAAAATCTGTTTTTAAATTGATTGACCTGCTAATGTCCCTTCTGTTTCTTTGATGGTAAGTAGGGTTGGAGAAATGAGAAATTTTATCATAATTGCTTCATTTACTATTTCAAAATTTGTTTCCAACTCAAGTGATGGAAATTATTTTCTCTTTATGAGCTGTGTTTAGAGACCACTGGACTATCAGAAAACCAAGATTGCAATAATAACAAACATTTATAATTTACAAAGCAATTTTACAGCCATTATCTCATTTGGTCCTAATAGTCATATTCATTCATTCAGCAAAGACAAAGACAAAAAAGAATGCCTATCCTAGTCTCTGGAAGGAGCCCTAGTGGTGAACTGGTTAAGAGCTCAGGCTGCTAACCAGAAAGGTCGTCAGTTGGAATTCCAGCCTTGGAATCCCTTCAGGGCAGTTCTGCTCTGTTCTATAGGGTCACTATGAGTTGCAATCTACTTGATGGCAAAGAGTTTTTTTTTAAGTCTCTAGAAGTATGTATCATTATGATTCTTACTTTATAGCTAAGAGATTGAAAACCACCACTCTCCAAGTACAGGAACCAGGATTCCAGCCTGAGTGATGTGATTTGAGTCCTGATTTAAGCATGCTGCCTTAAACTAGGAGTTATAACCTGCTGGTGATCTTGTGATCCCTCAGGGCTGCAGTTTCTTCATCAGCAAAATGAAAGAAAGTGTTGAACTCTGTAATCTTCAATCTCCATTCCAACTTTGAAATCCTAAAATTCATCTCATCGATAATACTAACAACAACAAAAAGCATAAAATAGCTGAGCGTAACCTTAACTAGAATAGTGTACAATTTATATGAAATAACAACAACAATAAAACTTGCCTGAGATGTTTTTAATGATTGAATTTACAGACTTCCATTTAGGTTAATTTTCCCATTCTCTTTTTTTTTTCATCTTCAGTTTCAAGTCCATTAATGAATAAAATTAAGGTATGATGCTTTAGAGATTGTGAAAGAAGTTTATTGAGAGAGGTTGAGTCATTAACAAATCTTCAGCCTCTCGAGTTTTTTTTTTTTTTTGGTCCCAAGAAACACTTTGTTCTTTTTAATGAGGGTAAAGACAGATGCGCTTGGAAGTGATTTTTCATTGTTAAATGAAGAGGCACTGCTGCTTCATATAGTTTGAGGCATCCTATGGGAAACAGACATTTACATGGTTTTTCTTTGGGGATGTGGCTGTATTATTGTTACTATGAAGTTATATTTGGTTGGTCTGAATTATGCTGCACTAGACGTATATTTTCATCTTGAAAGCTCAGCATAACAGCTCATAAGCACTTTTCAAAAGAGAGGAAGCTTATAAAGAAGAAAGAAGGATCATAACAGTGAATGTTTAGACAGTGAGACTGATTGTTTTCAAACAAATCTAATTCATTATGCGCCTGGTAATGAAGACATCTTAGTAACAGAGAAAGCAGCCCCATTATATGCGTGCTTCTATTAACCAAATTGTTTTGTTTAGATCAGTGGGCAGGACACCATCTGTTACCAGAAATTTTCTTTTCATCAAGCCTGCCCCCAATAAGCGATCCTAGTTAAGTAACTTCAGCTGCCCCCTGTTTAATTTCCATAATAACTCAATTCAGGGTTATGGAGAGAAAAAGGCAGCTAAGAGGATATTGTAAATTATACCATGCCCTCCGAGGATTTAATTTGGTTATCCCCTTGGCAAGAAAAATTAGTGGGAGGAGTTTATGTATGTTGGAGAAGAAGGCTGAGAAGAGGGAGGGGCAGAACTGATGGGAGAGGAAGGAAGCAGCTTTAAGGAAATTGTTTAATAGGACTTTTTTAAAATATGGGTTCTTTTTTCCAGATAGTTTTTTGGTGACTTTTTGTTTCTCCAAGATCTCATTTTCTAAGACATATTTCAATTATTTAGATACAGGTAATGAGTGATAAGAGTGATAAGACTATGAAATATATCTTACATACATATTGGTATGCATATATTTAGGTGTTTTTATAAAGTACAGTGAATATACAAATGTTATTACCAAGAATGCTAACACTGACACTGAAAGAGTTTATTGTTTTTATTCTCTCAAAGGTCCATGACTCCAGCTCAGGCTGACCTGGAATTTCTTGAGAATGCCAAAAAGTTGTCTATGTATGGAGTTGACCTTCATAGAGCAAAGGTAATGATAACTTTGGCCTTTATTAATATGTATCACACCTGTGTCATATAATACTTCTTACCAACTTTACCTGGAGTATTTAAAAACATTCAAAAGAGATAGTAGTTCTACACTTAGGTTTTTTAAGTGTATCAGTTGAATCTAGTCTCTTAGCAATTCCACCATCAGAATGAAGTTTTATATCCAAGCCACTGTAAGGATCAAAAAATATAGCCCCTAGAGCTAAAGAAATGATATTTTCCTGAAATGTGAGGATCTCTGGACACAGTTACATTTGCAAATGTCAAGTGGCAGCAAGTCATGTCTCACAGCCATCATCACTTACATCAGAATCACCTGAGGTGTTTATTAGGTATACAGATTCCTTGAGTTCCTCTCCAGATTTCCCGAACTACTTTGGAGGAGAAGAGACTTTAAGAATCTCCAGATTTGCAAGGGAGAATGAAGAAAACAAGATACAAGGGAAAGATTAGTCCTAAGGACTAATGGACCACAACTACCACAGCGTCCACCAGACTGAGTCCAGCACAACTAGATGATGCCTGGCTACCACCACTGACTGCTCTGACCAGGATCACAACAGAGGGTTCTGGACAGAGCTGCAGAAAAATGTAGAACAAAATTCTAACTCACAGAAAAAAGACCAGACTTACTGGTCTGTTAGAGACTGGAGAAACCCTGAGAGTATGGCTCCTGGACACCCTTTTAGCTCAGTAATGAAGTCACTCCCGAAGTTCATCCTTCAGCCGAAGATTAGACAGCCCTGTAAAACAAAATGAGACTAATGGGGCACAACAGTCCAGGGACAAGGACTAGAAGGCAGGAGGGGACAGGAAAGCTGGTAATAGGGAACCCAAGGTTGAGAAGGGACAGTGTTGACATGTTGTGAGGTTGTTAACCACTGTCATAAAACAGTATGTGTACCGTTTAATGAGAAACTGTTCTGTAAACCTTCATCTAAAGTACAATTAAAAAAAAAAGAATCTCTAGATTTAATGACCATACCAGATGATTCTTATTCATGCTAAATTTGGGAACCATTGGCCTAGTGTAGTGGTTCTGAGTGTGTGGTCTCTGAACCAGCAGCATTTTAATCACCTAGGCAGTTTGAAGGAGCTCTGGTGACACAGTGGTTAAGCACTCGGCCGCTAACCAAAAGGTGGGTGGTTCAAACCCACCAGCCACTCCGCTGGAGAAAGGTGCAGCAGTCTGCTTCCATAAAGATTTACAGCCCTGGAAACCCTATGGGGAAGTTCTTCTCTGTCCTGTAAGGTCGCTATGTCCTAAAAGGTTGAAATTGGCTCGAAGACAATGAGTTTGGTTTTTTTGGTTAGGCAGTTCGAACCTACCCAGCAGCTCTGCCGGGGAAAGACCTGGCGATCTACTTCAGTGAAGATCACAGCCAAGAAAATCCTATGGGACAGTTCTACTCTGTCACGTGGGGTCACTATGAGTCAGAAATCAATTTGATGGCACCTAACAACAACGACACAATAATAAAGAACTTGTTAGAAATACACATTTTCAGGCCTGCCACCCCAGACTTACTGAATCAGAAACTGGGGTTGGGGCCCAGCAATCTGTAATTTAATAAACTCTCCAGGTGTTTCTTATACACACAGAATGAACCACAGTGACTCATTTGAGAACCAATGGGTTAGGGAGTTGGGAACACGCTTTAATCCTAGTTCTGCCCAATACAAACTAACAGTGTGAATATTTAAGGCAAGTTGTTTGACTTCTCTCATCTTCGGCTACTAAAATGGCTAGGGAGGTTGAGGGATTGTGAGAGACAGGGTTGAAAGGGTGATGTGAGACGTATTCAGAGGTACTTACTAGGCTACATAATGAGGGGACCTAAAACCATGCACAATGAGGAACAGTCAAAGGAATAGGGATTCTTAGTCCTGAGAGGAGAAAGTTTAGGGAAGACACAGTAACTGTCTTCATGTATTTAAAGGATTGGTGTGTGACGTGGAGATTTTACTGTAGCTCTAAGATATAAAACTAGAGCCAGTAAAATGGACATTATAGGGAAATACTACTATGCAGCTCAATTTGACAAATTGTCCAATTGGGCCACCTCAGTAGTTAGTGAGCTCCCTATCTCTGGAGATTTTCCAGGATAAACTGAATAGTCACTTGGTAGTAGCATTTAGAAAAGGAAATTCAATATCTATTGGGTGATTGGACTAAAATGACCTTTACAGCTTCCCCTAGCCCTGAATATCTGATATTTAACGTCTCTTCCTTATTTAAATTCTATTATTTCTAGTAAAATTTCATTGAATTTTAGTGTTTTTTCTTGAAATGTTGCTCTAGGTTGTTTTGGGCTGGGTGCTGTAACGCCTATGAACCTGTAAAGTAGATGGTGGGAAGATCAGTACATCAGACCAAGTGTATTTCCAGAACTTAAATTGTTAGGTTTTGCTACTCAATTCCTGCCGGAGGCTGGCGTCAATTCCTTAGTTATTAAGAATGGATGAAGGAATCAGGCAGCATATTTCTTTCCCAAAAGTTGTAAAGCAAATTATTTCTCCAAAACATATCATTAAGAGAGAGAGTTAGTAGTACCCATGGGCTTTGAAAACTTAAGAGGGCATCTTCTGGGAAATCCTTAGTTACTTAGTCATCAAACTGTAGCTATATATGATATCTACTTCTCTCTTGTGCTTGTACATAACACACGTAGTCACTAATAAGTTTCTTTACACCTGTTTTGGGAGAAGACATATAAAGTCAAGAAGCATTTAGCTCTGGGTTTTGATTACTTAGCTAAACAAATGCTTAGCTGTACAGATGAACTCAGGTGAAATTTATTTTCCTTAAATTACAGACATAGATGATTACTATCATATATTTAATTTTTTGAATTCCTTAATAAAAGAGGCCTGTGAATATGGTTCTGTTTTACCTTATTGTTCCTTCTTGGCTTGGGGGATAATATTAATAATTTAATATACCTAACATTAACTATTTGAAGTCATCAAGGATTTCATTTTACTTGGCTCCATGATTAACTCCCATGGAAGCAGCAGTCAAGAAATCAGACGACACATTGCATTGGGCATATCTGCTGCAAAAGACCTCTTTAAAGTATTAAAAAGCAAAGATGTCACTTTGAGGACTAAGGTGCCCCTGACCCAAGCCATGGTGTTTTCAGTCACCTCATATGCATGCAAAAGCTGGGCAATGAGTTAGGAATACCAAAGGAGAATTGACGCCTTTGAGTTGTGGTGTTGACAAAGAATATTGAATATGCCATGAACTGCCAAAAGAACGAACAAATCTGTCTTGGAAGAAGTATATCCAGGATGTTCCTTAGAAGTGAGGGTGATGAGACTTCGTCTCACATATTCTGGACATGTTATCAGAAGGGGCCAGTCCCTGGAGAAGGATATCAAGCTTGGTAAAGTGTAGGGTCAGCAAAAAAGAGGAAGACCCTCAACGAGATGGATTGACATAGTGGCTGCAACAGTGGGCTCAAGCATAACAATGATCAAGAGGATGGCGCAGGACCGGGCAATGTTTTGTTTTTGAGTTGGAACTGACTCCACAGCACCTAATAACAACAACAACATCAAATATTATAAGCATCTGAGATTTTCTCGTACTGAGTTTATGCAGGAATGGAGTAAATTCCTGTACTTAAACCAGAGGTTGAGTTGACTCTGACTCATGATGACTCTGTCATGGTTTGAACTGTGTCCCCAAAAAACATGTGTCAACTTGATTAGGCCATGATTCCTAGAATTGTGTGGTTGTCCTCCATTTTGTAATTGTAATTTTATGTTAAAGAGGATTACAGTGGAATTGTAGCACCCTTAGTAAAGTCCCATCCTTGATCCAGTCTACAAGGAGTTTCCCTGGGGTGTGGCCTGCACTACCTTTTATCTTACAAGAGATCGAAGGAAAGGGAAGCAAGCAGAGAGGGGGACCTCCTACCACCAAGAAAGCAGTGTGGGAAGCAGAGCAGGTCCTTTGGATCTGGGGTTCCTACGAGAAGAAGCTCCTAGTCCAGGGGAAGATTGATGACAAGGACCTTCCTCTAGAGCTGACAGAGAAAGCCTTCCGCTGGAGCTGACACCCTGTATTTGGACTTGTAGCCTACTAGACTATGAGAAAATAAATTTCTCTTTGTTAAAGACATCCACGTGTGGTATTTCTGTTACAGCAGCACTAGATTGCTAAGACAGACCCCATATGTGTCAGAGTAGAACTGTACTCCATAGGGATTTCAATGGCTGACGTTTTGGAAGTAGAACAGCAGGGCTTTTTTCTGAGGCACTTATTGGCAGACTCAAACTGACAACCTTTCAGTTAGCAGCCGAGCATGTTAACTGTTTTACCACCCAGGAATTCCAACTCCTATACTTACCAACCTTGATTTCTTACCAACAATGATTTCTGAAGAGAAGACCACCTTACCATAAAAAAAAAAAAAAAAAAATTATTATTGTGTGTGTATATTTGTACTATACATAGCCTTAAGCCCTGGCCTCCAGGAACTCATAAGCTAAGACACACGTGGTCTGTTGATTTAAACACACGTGTATAGGATATGCAGCTACCATTGTAGAATGGCACAATTAGATTGATAAATAAGTGGGCAGCGAAGTATATTTTATCTTCCACTGAGTGAGTATGCAGGAATTATTTGCTGATTATGATAGTGATAGGTTTACAGTAAGTGTATTTTAAAATTGGGAGACCAAAGTAAGAAAATGAATGCTTATCCTAGAATTTTATTTGTAGACAGACAAGATAAAAGTAAATTAGTGTCTCTTTTTTAATTATTAAGAAAAGCCTTTTTGGTGGATGCAGAGACTTAGCTTTATGAGGTCCCATTTCTTCCAAGGAGACTTGAAGCTCCAACTTTGCTTTTCAGTTGTGGAGGGAGTGCTGTGACGGTGGGTGAGGTGTAAGTCCATTGACATTTCACAGTGGCTTTGGGGTGGTGGGAGTGGCAATATTGCTCCTTATGTCAGTTGATTCCTTCAGTGACTAAGGTGTGTGCATGTACATGTTTCATGGACAAGAGAAAAGCAGATATTCCCTCAGAGTCACTAATAGTGAATGAAATAATTGACTCAGCTATCAGATGGAATACACAGGAATCAAATCACTACATCTGTGGAAAGAGATGAAAAAACTCAATATCATCAGTCATGACAAGGCCAGAGGGTGACTGAAGAACAGACCATCAATTGCTCATATGCAAGTTCAGGTTGAAGCTGAGGAAAATTAAAACAAGTCAACGAGATCCAAAGTACAACCTTGAGTATACCCCACCTGAATTTAGAGGCCATCTCAAGAATAGATTTGACATATGGAACACTAATGACTGAAGACCAGACAAGTTGTGAGATGACATCAAGGACATCATACATGAAGAAATCAAACGATCATTAAAAAGACAGAAAAGAAAGAAAAGACCAAAATGGATATCAGAAGAGACTATGAAACTTGCTCTTGAATGTAGAGTAGCTAAAGTGAATGGAAGAAATGATGAAGTAAAAGAGCTGAACAGAAGATTTCAAAGGATGGCTTGAGAAGACAACATAAAGTATTATAATGAAATGTGCAAAGTCCTGGAGTTAGAAAAACAAAAGAGAATAATACACTTGGCATTTCTCAGGCTGAAAGAACTAAAGAAAAAACTCAAGCCTCAAGTTGCAATATCGAAAGATTCTATGGGCAAAACATTGACCAACACAGGAAGCATCAAGAGAAGATGGAAGGAATACACAGTCACTGTACCAAAAAGAATTGGTCGATGTTCTGCCATTTCAGGAGGTAGCATATGATCAAGAACTGATGGTACTGAAGGAAGAAATCTAAGCTGCACTGAAGGTATTGGTTAAAAACAAGTCTCCAGGAATTCATAGAATACCAACTGAGATGTTTCAACAAATGGATGCAACACTGGAAAAAGCTTTCTATGCTAAGAAATTTGGAAGACAGCTACCTGGTCAACCAACTGGAAGATTTCCATATTTGTGCTCGTTCCAAAGAAGGTGATCCAACAGAATGTGAAATTATCGAACAATATCATACACAAGTAAAATTTTGCTGAAGATAATTAAAAAACAGTTGCAGCAGTACATCTCCAGGGAACTGCCAGAAATTCAAGCTGGATTCAGAAGAGGATGTGGAACAAGGGATATCATTGCTGATATCAGATGGATCTTGGCTGAAAGGTAGGAATACCAGAAAGATGTTTACCTGTGTTTTATTGACTATGTAAAGGCATTTAACTGGGTAGATCATAACAGATTATGGATAACATGGCAAAGAACAGGAATTCCAGAACACTTAGTTGGAACCTGTACGGAGACCAAGAGACAGTCCTTCAAACAGAACAAGGGGGTACTGTGTGGTTTAAAATCAGGAAATGTGTGCATCAGAATTATATCCTTTTACCCTACTTATTCAATCTGTATGCTGAGCAAATAATCAGCGAAGCTGGACTATGTGAAGAAGAACATGACATCAGGATTGCAGGAAGACTTGTTAACAGCCTGCAATATGTAGATGATACAACCTTGCTTGCTGAAATTAAAGAGGACTTGAAGCACTTACTGATGAAGATAAAAGACTACAACCTTCAGTACGGATTACACCTCAACATAAAGAAAGCAAAAATCTTCACAACTGGACCAATAAGCAACATCATGATAGAGGGAGAAAAGATTGACATTGTCAAGGATTTCCTTTTACTTGAATCCACAATCAGCACCATGGAAGCAGCAGTCAGGAAATCAAATGACATATTGCATTGGGCAAATCTGCTGCAAAAGTCTTCTTTGAAGTGTTCAAAAGCAAAGATGTCACTTTGAGGACTAAGGTGTACCTGACCCAAGCCATGGTGTTTTCAATCGCCTCATATACATGCGAAAGCCGGACAATGAATAAAGAAGACAGAAGAAGAATTGATGCCTTTGAATTATGGTGTTGGCAAAGAATATTGAGTATACCATGGAATGCCAGGAGAATGAACAAATCTGTCTTGGAATGCCAGCATGCTCCTTAGAAGTGAGGATGGCGAGACTTCATCTCACATACTTTGGACATGTTATCATGAGGGTTCAGTCCCTGGAGAAGGACATCATGCTTGGTAAAGTACAGGGTCAATGAAAAAAGAGGAAGACCCTCAACAAGATGGATTGGCACAGTGGCTGCAACAGGGACCTCAAACATAGCAAAAATTGTGAAAATGGTGCAGAACCGGGCAGTATTTTGTTCTGTTGTACATAGGATCGCTGTGAATTGGAAGCAGCTTGACAGCACCTAACAACAACAATGGTTGAAAATATAAGTCTAATGTATGTTGTTACTAAAATACCTTGAAATTCCTTGATTTATCCATCTACATGAGTAAAGATTGATTTAAATTAGAGTCAAAGAATTTGTTGATATTGTCATAATAAATTATGAACAATAATGTGGACAGGTAACAAACTCATTGTAAATATTTATTTATTATTTATTTATTTATTATTTATTATTATCAGTAACAGACAGTATCTTGGGTGATAACAGAGATGATTAAATTACAATTTCTATCCTCAAGGACTGGATTGTAATTTTCTCCTGATTATAAAAGATAGATACACACATACACGTGTCTATGGGTATTATCCATTCCTATTTATATGTGCCTAGAAAATGGGATAATCCTGGAAATTTTTCCACTATTATTAAACCAAAACCAAATCTGTTGCCATCGAGTTGATGCTGACTCGTAGCGACCCTATAGGACACAGTAGAACCCCATAGGGTTTCCAAGGAGCGGCTGGTGAATTCAAACTATCGACCTTTTAGTTGGCAGCTGAGCTCTTAAGAGTGTGGGGCAGGGGTAGAATTTTACTTTTTATTTTACATATTTTCTATTTTTTGAATTTTCTGCATACATGGATTAGTTTTGTGATTTTAAATTAAAAAATACATTTTAATCATAATTGGAAACTATAGAAAACTAAAATGAAAAATTTCTCATAATCATACCACATAAAGAGTATTATTGTTAATATTTTGGTGTATTCATCTGTGTTTATTCTTTATATTGTTAAGATCAAATTGTATGTGTAATTTTATCCTTTATTTCACTTACCATTACAGAAAAATTATTTTCCCGTATGTTTCCAAAATTGTATGTAACTGTTTTAATGATCATACTGTGTTTCACTGTATGAGTGGACGATAATTCTACCCTATTGCCTAGAAACTTAGGTTATATCTAGTTTTCCACTCCTAACATAACACTGAATATTTTCACGTATAAATCTTTTTCTGTAATTTCAGTTATTTCCTTGGAATAGATTTTAGAAATAGAATTACTAAGTCAGATTTGGACATTTTAAAGAAGTTTGTGATAGGTAATAACACTGATTTAAAAAAAAATGTTGTGTAATAACAACATTCTTACATAGTCTGAATATTCCTATGGATTGTGATTGTTTGGTTCAACTTTATTTTTCAACATACGCTTTGTAACTGTTTTTGGTTGTTGATATCTTCAGATTATCTAATAATAGACATCAGTATGTTGAGCACTTTGCTGAAGACTGAAATGCTAATGCTTTTCTCTTTTAGGATTTAGAGGGAGTAGATATCATCCTCGGTGTCTGCTCTAGTGGCCTTCTGGTTTACAAAGATAAGCTGAGAATTAACCGATTTCCATGGCCAAAAGTGCTGAAGATTTCATACAAACGTAGCAGCTTTTTCATCAAGATCCGGCCTGGAGAGGTACAGAATCCTTGTTTCTTCCTCCTGAATTAAACACAGACCAGGTCTAAAACATCTCTTCATTCCCAATTTTCCTTGTTACATCACTGAAGAGGTTTCTATAACAGACTATTCAAAGGCTGATAATTCTGTTTTTTAAATTAATCAGTCCTGTGATGCTTCTTCTCTTCCTTACTGCTGGTCTTCTAGATATTTCTCTTCCTGTAAGTAAACATACTAAAAGTGAAACTGGAATTGATAAATTTACTCCTTGTTTACTCCAGGTAAAAACTTGATGGAAAAATATTTTCAAATTGACGAGCATGAGATTTTAAAATTACTTGTAGGGTTAAATTACTCGTGTTTTTATATCATCAACCCCTCACCTCATATAATTACAATTTATTTGTATGCATAGCACTTAATAGTTACTGAGAATGTGTTCTAGGGCCAAGTTGTAATTTTTAAGAGTTGAATTTCAACTTTGTGCCAGATAACTCAGTTATTAGTCTGTGGTCAAGTTTCAGGATATACTGATGCTGGCCAAATTTAACCTGTATATTAAAGGGCTGTTATTAAAGAACTGTCATGGTATAGTGAAACCAATTTTTAAAAAAAACTTCTAGTTCCTGCTCTGCCACTTACTAGCAAAAGATTCTGGACAAACCTAAGGCTCAGCTTCCTTATCTTTCAAGTGGGATTATTTCCTCCCTCACAGTTGATTTGAGGATCAAATGAGATGACATCCATAAAAGCTGTAAACAGAAAAGCCCCATACTCACGTAGGGTGACTTTTGTGTGTATATATCACCATCTGCTGGTGAAAAACGGCTCATTATATGAGCATGGAAAATACTGGATGTATGGATAAAGATTATCATTGAAGCATTTATTTAGTACCATAATTATTTAACTGTGCCTAGCACAGAGTGATCAGTGTCTTCTCTCAAGGAGTTTCAAATCCAAGAGTCATTCAGTCAACAAATATTGAGGACTTTCCTTGTACCATCGGGCACTATTCTAGGTGGTAAGAATATAGCAGTTAAAGAGTCCCATCCTTCAACAATCCTACATTTTAATATGGAAAGGCAGTAAATGAATATATACATACAAATATTAATAAATAAGATAATGAGGCAGTTCTTTATTTTTATAAATGTCAACTATATAACATTCTAAAAATTCAAAATTCTTATTTAAGAAAGTAGTCAGGAACAACAGTAGGATTTTGAGAAGCAACGTATTATGACTTTAGTTATATAGGAGATGATTTAGAGGTAGCGTGGTGTAGTGGAAACAGTGAATTTCTGGTTCTGCCACTTAATAGTTATGAGACTGAGCAAATAACTTCCTGGACCTCAGGTTCTTCACCTATAAAAATATAGATGATACTACCTATATCATAGTGTTATTAACAATAATAGACTCTCAATAAACGTCAGTCTTCTTTCTGTCTTGTAAAGTATGTCTAAGGCAGAGACAAAGAGGCAAGAAACTATCAGGACAGTGTTTTTAGCAGCCCAAGCAGGATGCAGTTTGGTTCAGTCAAAGAGGTATCTAGATAAATTAGTGATCAATCAAAGGAAAAAGAGATATAACATTTAATAATTAAAAAACCTGTGTTTGAGGCAAAATCTTTAGCTCCTATTATTAACTACTATTGTATAACAATATTGACTGATTGGACAAATCATGTGCTATCCCATTCCCTGATGATTGAGTAGCCTAGTGTCCCAAATGCAGATAGTGACTAAGGAAGAACAGTGTCTGGACAATCAAAATGTGACTTTAATTATGACTCAGAAAAATGTCGAGTGTGTGTGTGTGTTTTCTGAACAAAAATAAGATACATTCCCTGGCTTCTTGCTTTGGAAAAAGCCACCTTAGTGAGTGAATTCCTTTTATTAAGTAGGAAAACTTTTCAAATGATGTTTTATTGATATCAAATTATATAAAAAGCATTGACAGCATTCTCTTTATTCACAGTGGCCTCTTCTATAGCACCATATTTCTCTGGTGCTGTATCACGAAGTCAGTACTGTCCACATGAGGGGACTGGAATAATACTTCATGTTCCATGTTTGTGTCTTTATAGCAAGAACAGTATGAAAGTACCATCGGATTCAAACTTCCCAGTTACCGAGCAGCTAAGAAATTATGGAAAGTCTGTGTAGAGCATCACACATTTTTCAGGTACTATTCTCACTTAAGTATTTTTCAAGGTTAAATTATTTATGCTTTTTCTATTTTAAGCCTCCTACTGAAATTCTCTTCTTTGTGTGGCTGGCACTCTTTTATTTAGCTCAGGTGAGATCATCTTAAGATAGAATGAATCCAGCTCTCCCCCTTTGAGTGGAAAAGCATGCCTAGACGTTCCTAGAGCATTTTCCTGCGTACGGTAGAAAAAAGGGAGAAGTAAGGATAGGACCCTGTGTTTACTAGGGGCTCTGAGATTGCCCCAACTAACTGGAGCTAAAATCAGTCCAATAGAGGAAGGCACCCTGACTTACCTCCACACATACTAGTGGGCCTTTTATACTGGAAGATTAAAGGCATGAAGCTGATTGTTATCTTGGCTGTAATCAACCCCAGAAAGAGAGCACAAAGAACCATCTTTGAAGTCCAGTTGTACCAGATTGTCAGAAGTCAGAGGAAAGTTTTATTTCCTCTGTTTTTCAAGAGAGCGCATTATGAACTCACTGTATTCATTTACCAAGCATTTTCTGTTTGCTTACTCTTTTGCAGGTACTCACTATGTTAGGCATTGGGAATATACCACAAGATAGTCCTAGTCCCTGTCCTTATGGAACATACAATCTAGAAAAGAAGACACATCTTAGACAAATAATTACTTGTGTTGAAAGGAAAGCCATACAGTTATTGTTAGCTTTCCTTTAAAAAATTTTTTTTGTTACAAAAAATTGCAAACATACCAAAAGTAAAGCTAATAGAACAGTGAACCCCCTATGTACCTATCACCCATTTTCAATAATTATCACCCCAAGGCCAGTCTTGTTTCGTCTATATCCCCACTCATTTCTGCCCCCAAATTATTCTGAAGAAAATCCCAGACCTGATATCATTCCATTCATAAATAAACTTGATTTTTTATGAGTGACTTTCAAAAGAGATAACCTTGACATCTCCTTCCATTTGTATTTTTATATCATACTTAGCACTATAACACAATGGCAGGGAAAATATTTCAATTGTCACTTCAAAATAAAACATGAGAGTACACATTTATACCTGATTAAAGAATCTCAATTGTTAGCACTAAAATGTTTCTTTATGCTTCCATCTTTCTCTTCTTCAAAATCAAATCAAGAAAATAGTTTCAAAAAAGAACAAGGAAGAATGGGAAAAAGTTATTTTGAATGTTTAACATCTATGGTATAGATTTCCACTGCAGCCAATGTATTTTCCTGTAAATGGTATATTTAAATTTGTTGCATCAAAATAAGAGGATATTCAAATATAATGTTCCGTTACATAAAAGAAAGTAAATATTTACTGAATTAAAATTAATTCTCCCAAAGGGGGAAAAATATCCCCTTTTCATAGTATTTGGTGCAGCAGTTTATGTATTTATTCAACAGACATTCACTAGGTGCCAAATTCATGCCAGGCACTATGCTAGAAATGAAAACACAAAGATGAATAAGTCATGGTCTTTATCTTTTACCCTTAGAGAGCTCACAGTCTCGCAGGGGAAACCAGCATATAAATAAATAGTTTCATTTCAGTGTAGTAAAAGCCATGACAAAAGAGTGTACCTGGTACAGCACAGAAAGAAGACAGTGTTTCTAGCTGAGTTGATAGCACACTAAATAACCTGTTAGATAGGCTACCCGGCATTAACTGAGTGCATTTGACCAAATTATTATTCTAGTAGAGCTCTGGGCTTAGACTCTATTACTGTCCAACCTCTTAACAGCTATATGACCTTAAACAAGTAACTTTTCTTTTTTGAAATTAGGTTTCTTGTATCTATAAGATGATGAAAATATTATAGGTATATATGGTGAACATATCACAGTACTATAAAAGCATTTTGAAAACCATAAGACCCTTTCTATAGAGATATAAGATGATATTATTAATATAGGTCCCCAAGTAAACTATATTGATTGATTTAAAAAATGACATAGAACTAAAACCATGATTGCTTAATTGGAAATCTGTTTTAGTCACTACAAGAATACTATGAGAATTACAAAACCTTTTTATTATTGATTTTATTTTTAATCTCACATTATCTTATGGCCTCAGAATAATGAAATAGCATATATAATATATGATTATTATGTTTTATTTTCAGACTGACATCTACAGACACCATTCCCAAAAGTAAATTTCTTGCACTGGGATCCAAATTTCGATACAGTGGCCGGACTCAGGCTCAGACCAGGCAAGCCAGTGCCCTGATTGACAGGCCTGCCCCATACTTTGAGCGTACAGCTAGCAAACGGGCATCCCGGAGCCTTGATGGAGGTTTGTACTGAACATTAATAATTTCTTGTCTCTTGTAAGGGAGCGGCAAAGAAATACAGTTATCTATAAGAGAACCAAATTAAAGAATCTGAGTGGTAAAACTGAAAGGGATCTTACTAATTGTCTACTTCCGTGGAGTCATCTTAAGAAACGGAGAACTGAGATTCAAGGAGAGTGGTAACTAGATCAAGATTCCACAGCTAGGTAGTGGTGGGTCAAACACCTTTATTAATTAGAATTCAGAATCTCTACTACAGAGTCAAAACTTGACACAGCTTGCTGAGCTAAAACCCTCTTGAGCATTTTTAAATAGTTACTTATCTATTTGTTGTTAGATGCTGTGCAGTTGGTTCCAACTCATAGGGACCCCATGTACAACAGAACGAAACATTGCCTGATCCTGCGCCATTCTTACATTCATTGTTACACTTGAGTCCATTGTTGAAGCCACTGTATCAATCTATCTCATTGAGGGTCTTCCTTTTTTTTGCTGACCCTCTACCAAGCATGATGCCCTTCTCCAGGGACTAATCCCTCCTGATAACGTGTACAAAGCATATGAGACGAAGTCTTGCCATCCTTGCTTCTAAGGAGCATTCTGGCTGTACTTCCTCCAAGACAGATGTGTTCATTCTTCTGGTGGTCCGTAGTATATTCAGTATTCTTCGCCGACACCATAATTGAAAGGTGTCAGTTCTTCGGTCTTCCTTATTCATTGTCCAGCTTTTATATACATATGAGGCGATTGAAAACACCATGGTTTGGGTCAGGCATACCTTAGTCATCAAAGTGACATCTTTGCTTTTTAACATCTTAAAGAGGCCTTTTGCAGCTGATTTGCCCAGTGCAATACATTGTTTGATTTCTTGACTGCTGCTTCCATGGCGTTGATTGTGGATCCAAGTAAAATGAAATCCTTGACAACTTCAGACTTTTCTCTGTCTATCATGATGTTGGTTATTGGTCCAGTTGTGAGGATTTTTGTTTCTTTATGTTGAGGTGTAATCCATACTGAAGTCTTTGATCTTCATCAGTAAGTGCTTCAAGTCCTCTTCACTTTCAGCGAGCAGGTTGTATCATCTGCATATCACAGGTTGTCAGTGAGCCTTCCTCCAATCCTAATGCCACATTCTTCTTCATATAGTCCAGCTTCTTGGATTATTTGCTCAGCAGACAGATTGAATAAGTATGGTGAAAGGATACAACCCTGATTTTAAACCACACAGTATCCACTTGTTCTGTTCAAATGACTTCCTCTTGGTCTGTGTAGAAGTTCCTCATAAGCACGGTTAAGTGTTCTGGAATTCCCATTCTTAACCATGTTATCCATAATTTGTTCTGATCCCCACAATCCAACGCCTTTGAGTAGTCAATAAAACACGGGTAAACATCTTTCTGGTATTCTCTGCTTTCAGCCAAGATACATCTGACGTCAGCAGTGATGTCGCTCCTTCCACATCCTCTTCTGAATCTGGCTTGAATTTCTGGCAGTTCCCTGTTGATGTTCTGCTGCAACCATTTTTTGAATTGTCTTCAGCAAAATTTTACTTGCATGTGATATTAATGATATTGTTCGATAATTCCCGCCTTCGATTAGATCAGCTTTCTTTGGAATGAGCACAGATATGGATATCTTCCAGTTACTTGCCCAGGTAACTGTCTTCCAAATTTCTTGACATAGACGAGTGAGCGCTTCCAGCATCGCATCGTTTGTTGAAACATCTCAGTTGGTATTCTGTTAATTCCTGGACCCTTGTTTTTTGCCAGTGCCTTCAGTGCAGCTTGAACTTCTTCCTTCAGTACCATTGGTTCTTGATCATATGCTACTTCTAGAAATTGTAGAACATTGACCAATTCTTTTTGGTACAGTGACTGTATGTATTCCTTCCATCTTCTTTTGATGCTTCCTGCGTCATTCGATATTTTCCCCATAGAATCCTTCAAAATTGCAGCTCAAGGCTTGAATGTTTTCTTATCTAATAGGAAATAGGAAAAGGGTCTACCTCAACTGCCACCAGTAAAAACCATTTGCTGTTGAGTTGATTCCAACTGCGGTGCAATTAATTACTTTTGTGTGTGGCCTTTCTAGCCATGGTCTTGTGACTCCCACCCAGGTGATTGGGTGGAGCTGTGCAAATAACATAATTGTGGCCCACGGAGGGAACTGGTCCATTTTGCCTTAAAAGAGAGCCAATTCCAGAGCAGAGAGGAGAGCCCACCACCACCAAAAAAGGAGAGACCTGCAGCAGAGACTCGCAGGAGATGGCAGAGGGCTTCCTGGCCCACAGAGTGAGAAAGCTGAGTGCCTTTGGGCAGAGATTGAGGGCCAGGGGGAAGTCTATGCCTGACCCACAAATTTGGGACTTGCCAACCTCCACAACCACATGAGCCATTTCCTTTATATGGTTTGTGAGTTCCATGAGATGTTGCAGTGAATTAGGAAACTCAAAGACAGGAGGGAGAGTACTGAGGCAAGAGGGAGTAGTTGAAGTTAGAGATGATAGAGTGGTACAGCAGCTTGGAAAACTTAGACATTTGGGACATCTTTAACCTCTGCCTCATAGGAACCAGCTTTGTGCTGATCCTTATGAAAGAAATTATTCATTTACTGACTCATGGTGACCCCATGTGTGTCAGAGTAGAACTGTGCTACATAGGGTAAGTGGAAGATCAGAATTCAGATTGGTTTTATTCCAAAACCCAGACATTTATTAACTTATTACTTTTTTCAACAATTTTTTTATACTTCTATGTGTTAAGAATCATGAAGATGGTACAGGACTGGGCAACATTTTATTCTGTTATACATAAGGTCACCATGAGTCAGAGCCTACTGTTGACAGCAACTAACAACAACATGTGCCAAGCGTTGTTCTAATCAGTGTAGATATAGCTGTGAACACATAAACTTAGTCTCTGCCATCATGGGGTTTATATTCTATGGGTAGAAACAGAAAGAAACAAAACAAAATAATTTCAGATAGTGATAAACGTTATGAAGAAAATAAAACAGGGTAATAGGATAGAGAGTGTTTGGGGTAAGGGGAGATTGGGCAGCTGTTTCAGATTGGGTGGTCTGGTCTAAATTTATAAGGTTCCTCTGAGGAACTTCATTTGAATTATGAGAAGGAGCCAGCCATCCCAAAATCTGGCAGAAGAGCATTCCAGGAGAGAGGGAAGCAAGTACAAAGACCTGGAGGTAGGAATGAACTTGGCATGTACCTAGGTCAGTGTTGTCCCATTGAACTTTGTGTGCTGATGGAAATCTTCTGTTCTGTGCTGTTCAGTTCAGTAGCCAAGAGTCAAATGTGACCATTGAAAACGTGAAATGTGGTTATGTAACCGAGGAACTTACTTTTAATTAATTTTAATAGCCACAAGTGGCTAGTAGCTCCCATATTGGACAGCACAGGCTGAGACATTGAATAGCACAGTGAATGAAGAGGAGAGGAGTACAAAATGAGTGAGGTCAGAGAAGTGGCAGGGACCAGATTATGTAGCACCTTGTAGGCTACAGGAAGGAGTTTACATTTTATTTTAATTGCGATGAGAAGCAGTTGGAGGGAGTGATAATGACAGCTTGGCAATGGAGACAGTGGAAAATGGTCAGGAATACATTTTGGAGGTAGGACTGACAGAATTGCTGATAAATTAAGTGTTGGAGATAGTAAGGAAAAGAAAATCAAGCTTTACTCCTAGGCTTCATTATTTAGTGGGATGGGAAAGTCTGAGAGAGGAGTAGGGTTAGGGATATGGAAAATCAGACTTTTGTTTTGGACATTTATATAACACCATCAGACATCGCCTTCCTTGTCCAGTAAATCACCCTGTTTCCAGTTTACCTTAGATATTAGGAGTTACTATTTTTATCCCATTATTCAGGTGAGAATACCTGGTGAGTATTAATAAGTTTAACTGACTTGTTCAACATCTCACAGATAGTAAGTTGTAAAGGGATAAAAACCCAGGTCTGTCTGATAGCATATCCCTTTTTTTTTTTTTTCCACTAAATGGAGTTTCATAGGTACATAAATACTATGCCTGATGCACCTATTCTTTATGATAGCACAAATAACCAAGGATTCAAATATTAATAAGCTTTGGTACCTTGAAGACGTTAGAAAGCTTTACTTATAGAAATCCCATCTTGACTGTCTCCATTTTTCTAGCGGTAAAAACCTAGTAGTTCAATTAAAGACTTAAAAAAAAATCGTGATTTCTCTATTGACTAATACTGGATAGTTATGAATAAATTCCTGGGGGGAAAAATCTCCAAAAATTTACCTTCAAAGTGCTGTAGTAATGCTTGAGATTCCAAAACAAAAGCATGCCAGGCACTATGGAAGGCAGTTATAGCTTTGGTGGGTTTTATCATTAGTATTACAGAGTTTTTGGGAGTTGGAAAAAATATTTTGAAATGACTTACTCTAGCCACCTAATTTTATAGAAGTGGAACCTGAAACCTAGAAAAGTAATTTGTCCAAAGTTAGCATAATGTCTTAGTACAAACAGGACAGAATCCATATTTTTGGTGTCCAGATCAATCTCTTTTTTTTTTCCTCTCGATATGTTCCACAATGCCTCCTTCTTATCTTTATATTTTGACTTTTTTTTTTTTTGATGCATGATCTTAACTGGTCTTAGCAGTTACCACAGTACTTACTATATTATAATCACTCAATAAATAAATGTTGAAAATAAATTATTACTTTTCCCATTTGGAGGCATTGAATGTGAACCGAATTTTATGTTCCAGACTTTCTACATAATAATATAAATGCCTTAGAATTTCCTAGTATAACTGTTGTCTCTTGGCTTGGGAGAAAAGTTTTTTTTTTCCCAGATCTTCACTCAAGCCCTGATGACTAATGAAGTTGAGTACGTTTTCATAGTTTATAGGCCACGTGCATATCATCATTTCTGAAGTGCCTGTTCAAATCTTTTGCTCATGTTTCTGTTGGGTTGTCTGACTTTCTTACTAGTTTGTAGAATTCATATTC